GAATTTTGTAACTGAGTGAGTTTGTAGGCTGATGATAGGAATTTTCTAGATGCAAGGAAGCAGATCTCAGTTTTTAGTAGAGAGTTGATGTTTTGTCTTTACAACCTAGCTGGAAAGTCTCTTTCTTGAAACTGGTTCTGAAGATGACTGGTGTTCTATCGCTGACCTGATGTTATCACAGATGGTGTCAAATACTCACTGCCAAAGAGGTGCATATTCTCTATATTTATGGAGATTAGGAGAGTGAGAAATATCAAGAACTTTTCCCTCCAAAATTGCTATATAATTTCCTGGCCTTCTCATTTGTCAGAAAATATTATCTTTGATAAGAATCAAGGTTTTGGGAGCAAGGGTCTGACAAGTTGTGAGCATTAGTTACCCCCAGACTTATGGCACTATGGTCAGGGTAATGGTGGTCAAATTCCTTTTTATATTTTTCAGCTCTTTCATTTGTTAGAAAATATATTTTTATCTCTAAGGATCAAAGCTTTGGGAGCCGGATTTGAAAGCAGAGGAAAAAAGTTGGAGTAAGGATTAGAAAAAAGGCTAGAACATAAGTGGTTCTCAAATTCTAATACATTTTTTGAGGGAATACCTACATTATAATTTTTTTTAGTAGTATAAAATAATTAAAAGGTGTAAATAAATCCATATTAAATAGTTTAAGTTTATTTTATACACTTAATTTTGTGAGAAGTGTATTAAAAAGAAACCTAGACAGTTTATTAAAAATGGTTTCATTTGTGTATAAAAGTTTTTTTTTGTTTAAATTTGGCTCTAAAAAGGACCGCCAGAAATAACTGGAATGACAGACTGTTGGTGATACATTTTTTTTTCAAATTTTAAAAAATATATTCCTCTCATATCTTTTTTGTTCAATGAAAAAAGGTGGCTTCTTGTAGATTTAAAGCTGAGGTCCATTTGAGCCTCCTTTGAAAGTATAGAAAGAAGGTTAGTAGACAATGACAGGTGGGGGGATGAGAAGTAACTTGGACATCAGATATGAAGGAGGCAGGCCGGCTGGCTGCAGAAGATTTTTAGTAAATGTAAAAGTTGCTAGGATAGCTAAAGGATAAAAGCATTCAACCATTTCCCAAGGATTTATGCTGATAACTGATGACAAAAAAGAACAAAAGGAACCTTTGGGGGCTGGCCATAAAAAGAAAACTAAAAACAAAGAAATTTGAAAAAGATCATTAAAGGCCCCAGAGAAACTTCTCATGAAAACGAAGCAGAAAGAAAACCAAATGACAGTTCAAAAATATCATTAAACTCTTCTCAGACTCTCATGGAATAAGCATTTATCTATTAAGTGGGTGCACCTTTTTCTAAGAGTAATTTCTTTTTTTCAACAGTTTTCATATCACCTTCAAGTTTGTGTTTTTTTTTGTTTTGTTTTTTTTTTTTTCACCATTTAAAAAAATTCTCTCATAAATTTTTTTGGGAGCTAATAATTTCTATAATTTTGTTATCTTGCCTTGTTCTTAATAAGGCACATGAAAGAAATTTTTGTGCAAGCCTATTTTATTGTTGTATGCACTATTTTTTTTTTTTTTTTTAAATATTCAGAATAAGAGAGGTGACATTCACTTTTCTCCTATTCCCTTCTCAAGAAAAAAATGCTTTTAACTTTTAAACTTTGCATTTTTTTTTTTTATTCTTCAAACATCTTTATTTAATATGGAAAACTCTTATTTCAAACAGTAACAGAATGAATTTCAAAATTGTACTGGAATATTGCAAGTAAATTATTTTAAAAATAAATATTCAGTGTAGGTTTTTTTTTCTTTTCAAATCTGAAAGAAAATGTGTTTTGTTGAATTATTTTTGGTTAGGTTTAAAACAAATTTTCAGTATGTTCACAGTTGATATTACATATTAATTTATTTATTTTAATTTTTTTTTACTGGAATATTTGCGAACAGCCTGAAATTAAAAGTACACATAAGATATTGAACATGGGTGCAAGATGGGGGGGAGGCAAAAACTACTTGAAATATTTCTACAAAGATTTCTAATCTATTTGGTATTCAATTCACTAATGAATAAGTACAAAACATTTAATTTAAAATGGCTAATTTTTTTATTTTTGACAAATTTTTAAAAACGTGAGGAGGGGGGTAGCATTTTTTGTGTTTCCTTCTGTGTTCTGTGGCAATTTTCTGTCTACACTAAGTATCACCACAGCTTCCATCTTCTTGCAAAGAAAATGAAAATGCATTTTAAATAATTTAGATGTCTTTAAAGCTTAATTTTGGTTTTATTTCAAAGATAATAACCTAAATCTAATCCACATGAAAAGAAAAAGAAAATTTTTAGGTATCTTGAAGATATTCACTCCATTATAGACAAAAAATGTAAACAAATATTTAAATTTTTAAAAAAATCTAATATTTGTCCTAGAACTGTAATTCAAAGTAAATTAGTAAATTTAAGGATTAATTAACTGAGTTTTGTAAAAGTAGTGCTTACTTTTTGCTTAAAATATAATTATGTTTATGTAGCTTGTATGCAGTCATCAATGTTATACAGACATGTAGAAGTAGTTTTCTCTTGTCATCCCTAACTCTTAAAAAGAGTGCAAAAGAATTAAATAATACAGAACCCCATCATTAATCAAGAAATTAGTATTTATCTTTAGCCATAATCAATATTTTTAAGAATATAATTTTTTTTATTCTATGTGCTTTTCTGAAATGTAGTAAAATGAATATTTGTTAACTTAAGTGTAAAAAAAAAAAAAAAAATTAAGACTAGTAAAATGATACTTTTTAGTTTTATTCATTGCTTATATTTTTTATTTTCTTACCTGTTTGATGTCATAAAATAGGTAATTGTTCATCAATGAGGCCTTATTCTGAATTTATTAAAATAACAAAATTGCTTCTAACAAAAAAAAAATAGGGAAAATTGATAGTTACTGAATTAATAGTTTTAATTGATTGCTTTCACTTTGATTTCTTTTAAACTTAATTGTCATAAAAAAATTATAAACTATAACAAATGTTTTAAATTATGCAAGGATCAACTCTCAGCAAAAGATATTTTTCACGACAAATTACACAGCACTTATTTCGATTAACTAATTACTTTTCTACTTATATAAATGCTAAGTCTTAGTTGGCAAAATGACATATATGGCTATAAAAAGACACTATTGATTATTTATGGCTAACTTGTTTAAATAATGCACTATTGTTTGCATCATATGGCAATAATTGTAAGTAAAATGATGCACTAAAATAAGTAGCTAAGTAACCTTATGTTCTCTGAATATCTGTACCTTTTTCTTTTCCAGTTTTATTGAATTATTCTTGCAAAGTTTCAGGACAAATTTTCAATATTTTCTGTTTTGATATAGTAAAAATATTTTATTGAAATATTATTTTCAGGGATTTTTCTTTATAAAACTATATAAAATATTTATCCTTACACTCCAGTTTTAAAAGTATGCACAATTTATTTAAATAATTCTACAACTTTTTCTAATAATGAAACGAAACATTCAGTATAAAATTCATTAATAAATAAGTATTGAAAATTTCATATAAATCTGATAATTTCTTTGATTTTTGCCAAAATTTTAAAAACAGGTTGGAATGTTTTTGCTTTCATTTTTTTTTGGGGGGGGGGTCCATTTTGACAGTACCTAATCTACACTGTCAGATTTTATTATGCAAGTCAATAAAATTATTAGCATTAACCAATTGATGTTGGTAAATGTTTCTGAATTTACATATATGAGCAATATATGTTAGTTTTACTTTCATCTTGGCCTTATCAAAAAATTTGATCATAACTTTTCTTTTAGGGTGGGGTGGGGGTGTCAGCTTTTATTATGAAAAGTGAAACAAATTTTTATTTATAAATAAATCCAAAAGAAATGGTTACAGAAATATATATTTGATTAACACAATATACTATAAACCTGAATAAATTATTTTACATGTTAATATGGACACCTTGACATTCATGCATTAATGCCCTCATGCATTAATTTTTGTTAACTTTTTGTAAGCTTTTGACTTTAACAATACTTGCAGTTTTTAGTACTCCCCAGAGATCTTTGTTTTCTGTACATCTCTGTTTTACTTTGTTTACTTCAAGGTAGTAGTTGGGTTGCTTTCATGCCTCTAGTCAGTGTTCTGAATTTTCCACGTCTTTTCTTGCTGTTCATATTTGCAACAACAACTTTTAAGGAGCATGGTCAATTTTCAATATTTATTTGAAAGCCTGTTTAACTGATTTTCCTATTTCAAAATAAATCAACACAACACCTACATGAATAAACAGAATAGCCACAATGATAATTTTATACATATGGTTTCACCAAAACAATTGAGATACCCCAAAAAAAAAAAAAAAAAAGGTGATGGAATTTAAAGTTGGTTGAAAGGAAAGTTTTTTGTATGAAATAAGTGTTCCTTTCAGATGTCTGAATTCAAATAAGTCAATATGAAAGTACACACTCACCCAGCTGTGGTAACAAATATACACCAATAATCAATTTTTTAGGTACATTGTCAGGATATGTTCCTTCCATTTTCAAACAATGGCTCTCATTATACTGTTTGGTACTTTGGGTTTGTTGGAGATCTTTTGATATCCCATTCCATGACTATGCTGCTAGTTAATTATCTCAGGAAATTCTAGAGGGTCTTCCTTTGTCTTCGCTAGTGTGAAAAATGTTTGCACATGCCAGCCTGATTTTTAATGATCATTCAAATAAATATAGATATTGTAAGTTATGGGGTGTGTTGTGTTCTCATTGGTCAATGGAATTTTTCAAATGAATAATTTTAGAAGTTAATCCATTTATATTTCCAAAATGTGTGCATGAGGGGGATGTTGAAAAAAACCCACTTTCTAAAATCTGATCAAATGACCAAGTTTTCTTTCTTTCAGCATTTATTTGTAGATACTCACAAACTTGATTTTTTTTTTTTTTTAGTATTAAAAATAGAAAATATTAAAAACAAAAAACTGCTTTTGCTTTACAGAGTATTGTTCCCAACCCACGTCTCATGAAATTTGAATGGTCAGATTGTGGTAATTCATCTTCAAAAATCATTTTCAACAACATCAGTGTGACTCCAGATCCTATAGTTTTGCCAGGCACTATTTTGGTTTCGGTGAATACTACAATCAATGAGGATATTACTGACAACCTTTCGGTTTGTACTTTTTTTTTTTTTTTTTGTTCAAATAACATTTTTACCTATTTTCATATGACACTAATGAAAATTAACAGGCTTTAATTAAGAAAATTCTATTATTTATTCAGCTTGCCAAATATTGGCTGTTACAAATCCACATTGCTGTAATTTAATTTTACTGTTCATTTGGGCATCATCTTTAGTTCAAATTACTTTACATTTCCTTCGATCATTACTGTTTTGGTAGTGCTACTTACTAGCATCAGCTATTGGTAGAAACTTGAAAAAAAAAAAAAAAAGCTCTAACAAATGGTGTGGCCATCACATTCACTTACCCTGAGTCCAATTGTTCATTTATGGGATGTGGTGGAGGAGTCTATTCACATTCAAGATCCTGCACCTACAAATATCAGGGAGCTGTGAAAAACTATCAAAACAGTATAACTTAACATCTTTTTTGAAGTGTTCTGACCCCACTTGTGGTACCATGCAGATTAGTGGTGGTTCCATAATGGATGGGTGTTCACGTGGCAGGGGTTGTGTTAGCTGGTCCATCTAAACCTGTCATTGACCAGTGACTTCAACATTACACTGTATCATGGTCATTTGCACATATCATTGGACTCTATGGATCTCCAAAATGATCAGTTATTCCAAAAGGATAATGCACCAGGTCATGAAACCCAACTTGCTCAGAATTGGTTTGAGGATAATTCTGGAGATTTCCAATGAATGGTGTGGCCATCACATTCACTCACCATGAGTCCAATTGATCATTTATGGGATGCAGTGGAGGAGTCTATTCACATTCAAGATCCTACACCTACAAATATCAGTAGTGAATAGGTATTCCAAACTGCCCTAGTGTGAAAATTTGTCAAAAATGGTGAAATTTCCTTCCATTTCAACTACTGATATCTCATTTATTTCCTAGGCTATTTTGATAAATTAATATTTACACAAAATTTAATCTTTTCTCTTTCTAAAGATATAAATTCATTCTCATCAATTTGCTGGGCTAACCATGTTTGAAGTTGTCTTTCACAAAAAACTTCTAAGTTGAAAATTTAGTGGATGAGAAATTCAACTCTTAAGAAAATGAAAATTACACCTTGTAAAGAAATGTCTCTTTAATAATCAGTTGGTTTCATATCTCTGTTCCCATACAACTCTAGGCACACACAACTCATAAAAGAGGGTATACTGTGTTCATTTTTTTGCAAATGCTTAATGCAAGGAAGGGTCTTACTAAATAGAGGGGAGGTAGAATTTTATTCTCTATATATTAAATAAGAGGGTTTTAATAAAAGGTGATAGAAAATCATTTGAGGGGTCAAAAAGTGCTAAATTAGTAAATGGGGTAGTCTTGATAAGTTCGGTTTAGGGAAAAGAAAATTTCCACAGAAAAAGAAATGCCTTCCCCACTCACCAGTCTATAAGGTATTTAAGTGTATAATATTTGAGGATGGGTATGTAATTACATGGAAATATTGATGTTTTTTAAACATTAAAAGAATGGATCAAATATATTTGTATATTGATATTTGGTCATTTAAGCCTATTATTATTGATTTGTATATTTTCTTTCAGGCTCAAGTTGTACTGAAGAGGAAAATTGGTGCATTTGACATTAATATTCCTTGTATAGATAATATTGGATCATGTCATTATGAAAATATTTGCTCTCTTCTAAATAAAGTACCAAAATGTCCTGAGATACTGATTAAACGTAATATTCCATGTCATTGCCCCTTCAAACAGGTAAGTTATAACACATGCAGTTATTCTTAATTGTTGCTTGATTTTTGTTAACTTTATTTCCTTTCTTCCTCTATTTCTATTCTAGCATAATAGAAAACCAACAGACAATTAAACATTATCTTCAAACAGCAGGACATTAGTACTGTGTTTATCTTTAGCTCAGTTGTTTGAATAAAAGTAAGTTTCCCTTCAACATATAGACAAAAAATCGATAATGGTTTATACACATATATGAGGAATTGCTGAAAAAGTAAGTTCATCCTTCCCAAAAGTCATTTGTTCAGATTCTGGGAAATGGGTCATGCTAAGAACTTTTCAGCACCCCTTATATATTAATGTTCTCATTTCTTTTACAGATGTATTGAGAATATTAACATGGCAACTTCCAATCAGACAACAGAAAATGAAAAGGTACAGTGGATCTGAGATAGCTAGTCTCTTGAAAGTGGTCAGGCACTTCATGTTCAAGGTCAGGAACTGTTGGAAATGTCTTGTCCATAGCCAAGAGAAAGAAATATTCTTAGCAGTCTGATATCATGGAGCTGACTGAGTTCACCTGACCTGAATATCATCAACCAGGTATACATGGTGATGAACAACAAGTTCACGTTGTCTGTAATAGTCCTGGGAGTTATAAGCAATGAGTTATGTCATACTACATCACTTCCTTCCACTGGTCTGAAGGGTTAATGCCACCACCTACATCATAATATTGGAAACTGATTAAACCTTGAATGTGTTACCCAGGGGAGGCTAGCAGTACTCTGGCCCATGTGATCAAGAGTGACTCACCAAGAATATTCACGATCATGTCACCTATCAACATATGGGGCCTTCTAGAGCTCATTATTTGAATCTCCTGGACTACTATGTCTTGGGTATCACTGAGAGGGAGATTAATCAATGGCTCCACGATATCAAGGACTTGTTGAAAGCTTCCAATATTAATGTGATGGTCAGCATAAACCAAATTCACCTTATCAGGGCATATAGTAGCTTCTCACCATCCATGTGAATGAGTGGGTAGGGGTCATCAAATGTTTTTCTGTTTTTCCCAGTTCAACATTGGGACAAATTTATAAAAAAAAAATCTGTTTACATTATTTTCAGTTGGACAAATGTTTTCATCTTTGTTACAATTCTTTGCCTCGATAAAGTCCATCAGAAGACAAAACACATCTCTCTCTTTCTCTTGTTTGTTTTTCAAGGCAAATATAAGGATTTTATTTTGTAACAAATATTAATAAACAAGTAAAAATGTTTGTTTTTCAGGATTTTTATATTTAAGAACACTCCTAAATATTCTTTAGGCTAACTGAAAGTCAAGGTAAATTATGTAAACTAATAACAAAAAGACATAATACTACCTACTAACTTCTTAACATCTATTGAAAACAATTTACCAAATTTTAACAATATCAAAATAACTACAACTACTTCCAAAACTATTATGGATATGACCAGGAATTATAATATCAATTATAATGCAGGCATATATAAAATAAACTGCCACAACTGTTCCTTACAATATATTGGGGAAACTTGCAGAAATATAAAAAAAAATGTATCTATGAATACAAAAAGGATCTTATACGCAACAATTTATCAAATGAATTAGTCATACATCGAAATAAGTTCAACCATAAAAATGATCTAAACAATGTTACACTTATTAAAAATGAAAGTAAAACTTACTTAGATGGAATAATCTTGAGTGTGCTGCTATTGAATCTTACAAAATATAAATCTGCCCTCTGGATTTTTTTTCAAAAATATTGTTTACCAAAGCAACATACAGGACTATCAAAATTCTAAAAAATTAAAAGAAAATGGTTAAATTCAAAACCTATTATTTAAAATATATAATACATAAATTAATCTGAAACTAAAGTAATATAAATAATAATTACATTGGAAATAAAAAAATAAAACAATAACTTTTACTCACTTTTGTTTAGACATTAAATGACATCATTTAGCATCCTCCATAATTTACCTTGACTTTCAGTTAACCTGAAGCATTCTTAAATTTAAAAATTCTGAAAAACCAACATTTTTAATTCTGTTTAGAAATATTTGTTACAAAACAAAATCCTTGTATTTGCTTTGATAAAGTTCACCAGAGGATGAAATGCATTGGCCAAGATAAGTTTTCCTTTTGGCTTTATTCATATTGACTTTTTAAAGATATATTTGTACTTATATCTGAATTTCTACATATGTCTATGTATGTTAGTCTGAGAAGTTGCAATGAGTGACTCTCCTGGATGTTAGCATCAGTCATGCTGGTGGAAGGCAAAAAACAAAAGAAAGTTACATATTTGGTGATATTACAACTAGTGAATGCATTTGTACAAGTTTGTTCCTTTATGTATATCTATATTTTAAAATATTTCCTACTTGTTTAAATGATTACAATATTTAAAAATCTAATTTATATTTGATATTCTTTTGTACATTTTGGTTGATTTGTATGAAAAAAATTTTATACACACAATAAAGATTCTATAGCATCATCAATTAAAAACAACACAGATGAAATATTAAAAAAAATGAATTGTGATGAATATAGCTTAAGTATCGGTTGTAAAAACATGAGTGAGAATCTGATTTTAGTTTTCCAAAATGAGAGGATTTTTTATTTCCAACTTTTCTCAATGTCTTTTTTCTTTTTCTCTCTAGGGAAACTATATTTTGCCATCTACTGGATTCTTTATTAATGATGACCCTGTGCCAGAAGGAGATTATACACTGAAAATAGTTTTAAGTTACAAACAAAAGTTTATTGGCTGCTTCAAGCTTGCTGCCAGTTTTTCAACATAGGTAAATAATTTCTTTCTTCGAGCTAGTCCACTCTGTTGATTATTCTACTTGAACATACTACAGTAAAGTCCTCTTCTAAGATGGAATATTCTTGAACTACCTAACCTAGGAATTGAACTCATAACTTCAGAGAACAAGATTAACTCAGCAGCAGCAACCAGCATTTCTGCCCATTTTAAGAACATTATAGCAATGTAATTTTGGAGCCTCAAACTGTATTCATCTCTTTAAGAGGAGGTTTGTATACAATATTCAGTTCTACTTACAGACTGGAACTTTTGAGTAGAACATATTGGTTAGATTCTTTCACTTAATTTCTTTTCCAAAACCACACTATAGTCTAAAATCATTCCATTATGTTTGCTATTGTTTTCTCTTTTTCACCATTCCTGACTTTATAGTCTCCATAGAAAATGGTTTTTCAAACTTCAAGATTTACCATTTGTAAGTTTTTTGATTTACTGAAGATTACTTAATGTAACAAATCTGAGGATGGTTGCAGAGTACACCAACTAAAATCTTTTGATTAAACCAACAAAGGCAAGGCTATGAGTCTGAAAGAATTGTTGAAGAATAACAATTCTTTGTTTTGGAAATAAAGACAGTTTATAGAAAGTTTTAATACCAGTGATAGTCACTGATTACTTTTAGGATTTTATGAGCATTTTATTTTTACTTCAGACCTGAGCAAATACGAGAATCTCCATTAAAATGTAAGAAATGTAATCCCATTGTTATATTTTTCATTTCTTCCTTGTAACAAAACTGCTAATTTCTAAATACATTATAATTAATGTGTAAAAATATCCAAATATTTTGTTTACTTTTTATACATTTTTAAGAAAATTGTTAATAAAGAAATAAAATATTTTACTAATTTCTTGTTTTATTTTTTTAAATTATATAAATATAATCAGTATGGGGAGCATGGAGTAATGGATAGTGGCTCAGATTGAGGAATTGGAGAGCCAAGTTCAAGTTCATTACTTTCACTTGCATGCTAATATCCTTGGGGAAAGGTATGAATCCATCTCTTCTCCTCCAGCTATGAGTTGAATGGCAAAACAGATTGGGTCCTATAGCCTTGGGTGGTAACCATTCTAGAAGGAAAAACTGAATTCAAAACCATCTTGACAAAGCCCAACAAGCTCCAAACTATCTTACCCAGGAAACACCACTGCTACTGATGCAACAGTATTTGTGGTGACCCTATGACTCTAGAGAGTTAGGGTTTTTTTTTTTTTTTTTTAAAAAACAATCAATATTTAAAATTATACTGGTTCAAATTCTTAACCACTTGAAACTATGGGTGTCATATTTTCCAAATAAAAATACAAATGGCTTCTGATATTTTGCAGAATATGAGTGTCTTCTCCAGTAATATTTTACATTTTACATAATGTAATATATTCTCATTTTACATAATGTATATGCAAATTAGAAATCATTTAAATATGTCCGGTATTTTGATTTGATAAAGAAATTTCTCCCGTGATATTTTGCCAGCTGGTTCCAAGTGTTTAGGATAAAATCTTTTATGATGTAAATCGGATATAGGCAACCCATTGAGGCATTTACCTGAAGTGGAACATTGCAGGATTACATTTGACATATTATAACAGTTATGACCACCCATAGCCATAGGGTGCATGAACTATCCCTTGGGTAGCTTGGAGCTGTGAGGAGAAGCTTTATTCATTAAGGTGAAAATTCATGAAAGTAGGAAATAATAAAGGTTCTTTTTAATAATTCCATTGTTAATCACAATATAAAAAAGTGAGCACTTGAAAGCAGAAAATAATGCTAACAATGAATTCAGTGAATAATAAATCTCAAACACTTCTGACATTATTAATTTCTGGCAATCATTACTCTATTTAAGAAAATTTACTCAGAATTGTCAGAACAATGTACAGATATTTGAATAAATTGATTGATACATTTTCAAAAAGTCTTTGCTGTTCTCAATAACTAATTCCATTTAAGGCTACTTGACAAAATCAAAACAGATTGAAAACTTATTAAGTAATGCTAATCTTATTAAATCAATAAATTATATAAAAAATGTTAAATATATTTGCATAAATATTTTTATAAAAAATGTATGGAACATTTGAATTTGTGTGCAGAAAAATTAACATATGGAAAGTGAAAGGTTGACCACCCTTGGTATAAATCATTTAGTTTATATCTCTTGAACTTTGTGATGAACATTTCTATATGAACTTTACAAAAAAAAAAAAAAATTTTAGTCAAGAGAGGAAATTAAGGAAAATAGTAACTACAAAGAAACATAAAATACAAAAAGAGTACCTAGAAAATTTAAAACTCACAGGCCATATTGGAGGTAAGAGAAACGAGGGGATGTGTGGACAGCATGTAACCTACTTAAGAAATTTGCAGGAATGGATTATAGAACCAGTATCAGAAGCAATTTAGAGCAACAATAGCCGAGAGAGATTATGGAGAGCTATTACAGACTATATTGTGAAAAGACGACCTAAAAGATTGTTTATTCAAGGGTTGTCTCTCTTATGATATAACCATACCTGTTGTGATTACACCTATAAAATACTTGTCAAATATTTTGTGCAAATATATGAATGGAAAAATTCCTTTGTTGTCGAGGTAGGAAACCTATATTATGGACATTAGCTAAACTAATTCATAACCAATTATGAGATATCAAAAATGTCATTAATTCATTGATTTCAGATGTTTTGTAAATCCAGGGTCTTTAAAAACTTGCAAATATTTGAGATGCTTTTTTACCAATCTTTAAAAAAAATTGGAATCTACAAGCAATTATGTTAATTCAAGTAGAGACAAAAGCTGCATATATGACAGACATGAACAGACAGTAGGCACCATTAATTTGTCTATATTTCTGAGATGAGGTATTATGTACATTATTTGGACTGTTGTCCTCATCTTTATTGCCATATTTTTTTTACAATGTTTCGGCTGTTGTATGCTCCAGCCTTCTTCAGGTTGTTGGAATGTCGAACTGAACCCTTTATTTCACTCACTGGGGTAGACGGTTCTAGTTACATGTGCCATGTTTAATGGATGTCAGCTATCAGTTATCATGTTAATTTCCCTCTTAACCGGGTATTGAACTCGCACTCTATGGGTCCTGTCACTGGACCTAACTAACGCCTTTATCAACTGTGCCATGTGTCCTTGAGGACATCTGTGTACGAATTTCTGGGTATTATAATCCTAATGTCTTCAGAAAACATTTTTTTACCAGTGCTCATATTACAATTTTTGCCTTTATCATACATGTTTTTACCAGAGCTCATATTGCAATTTTTGTTGTTATCGCTTTTCTCTGGCACTCCTTATTACTGGTTCCCGTATTGTATCCATTTCTATGCTTGGTCGGCTCAGGAGAGGGTGGTGATCTCCCTTCTCTCTCCATATGTGGTCAGCCATGCCTGATTTTTCCACTTCCCCTCATGTTACAGCTTTCTGGTGTTCTTGAAGCCTTACCTTAAGGGGGCGGCCTGCCGCCTTTATATTTCTTTCCACAGCTGCACGGGATAGCGTACACAGTCTTTAGTCATGTTCTCTTCTATGGGGGGGGTCTTACTTGGGAGAGATATCTGCGAAGTGTCATCCATGCTTTTGAAGGTTGTACTGATGTTATATGGACCACAGATCCTTTGTATTTTGCAAATATCTTTACCCCCATACCCATTTTGGGAATACCAGTTGCTATCAGACACTAGAAATTTAAAGTTAAGCGTCCCTCTATCTTCTGTTTTCTTGATGTTGAATTGCAACTAGCATTTGTTGTATTTCAGCCCCTTCTCCTTATATATATGTTTGTTTGTGTGTGATTTCATCACTAAAAACATTATCTTATCTGAAGACATCATAAATACTTTAAATTGTCAGCGTAGACAAGTTACTTTGCTGGATTTCCTCTTTTCTAGAGGGGAGACTTTAATCTGTTAGATTAAGAGGATCAATCTCACAGTGGAATTCTGTAACAAGTTGCATCTCACAAGGTAGTCTTCTTGGATCTCTTCTTTTAACAGTTTTTGTTGACGATTGCTTGAAAAATTGCCATATACAAAAACACACTGAGGGTATGGAATTTTATGTTAGTTCCCAAAAATCAAACTCTTTATATGTTTAATGCTCTCTTCAGAGCAGTTTGGATGCATTATATCCCTGGTCAATGAAATGGCTTCTGAGATTTAACCTTGTCTATACTGTCATGTAAATAGGCAGTCAAAATCTGAAACATCAACTCTGTTTTGGTGTACATGTCATATATAACAGTGTTAAAGAAAAAGACTTGGAAATAATTATGATCTCTCATCTAAGCTCTTCAAGTAACTGCAGCTACATTCAAAATAAAACCCACCACTATACCAACTATAATAAAGGGTGTGGCATATACCTCCCACATAATGGTAAGACATCAGTGGCAATGGTGTCTTCATCTAGCTAATCTTTTACCATTATATGTGAGGTATTTTTGCCGCACTATGTAGAAAGAAAATTTTCCACACAATGTAAAGGAAACTTTCTGAAGCTTTTAGTTTTGCCACTTTACACTCAGCATGATATACATCAGCTAGAAAAAATACAAAAGCACTTTACAAAAATAATTCCTCAAATTAAAAATATGCTTTACCCTGATAGATTTAAAAGCCTTGGCTTTTTCTCACTTGAAACTGAATGTCTTTGACTTGATTTAATACAGCTATTTAGAATAGTAAATTCAAATGACAACAGATTTCGAAAAATATTTTACTAATAATGTTTTGAATATTCCTGTTTCCTGAATGTTACCAGTGCTCTTTGCTATCATTTTTTACCTCACGTTTGTGTGCCCCTTTTGACCCAAGAGTTGCTGTGTGTTCCCAAAATATACCTTAAATGATACATAATACCGCAACCCTTTTAGGAGCATATTATACCAAGAAGCCCTGCTGAATGCAGTGCCAAATTTCATTAAAATTAGACAAGGGATTCTTGATCTA